GGTATTTTTATTTGATTTAAAATTAATTTTATATTAATTTTTGGTGTCAAATAAAATACACTTTGAACATTTGAGTGGAGAAAAATTTTGAAAATCTTTCTCACAATCAAAATTTTCGGCCAAAGTGATTTAAAATATCACAAAATCAATCTTTGACAAAGTTTATTAATTAGTTTAACTTTTAGCTTAATGACAAATTTTGATTACTCTTTTGTTTTTAAATCACACGGCTATTACAATATAATGGCATGGGGAAGATTATCATTTTGGTTTTTTTTTAAGGGTTTTCGGCCATTATATTTCTAGTGAGAGAAAATTTCTTTTATGTTCTATTAATATCATTTTGTGTATAGAAAATATCTATAATATTTTCTAAATATTATTAGAAATATTTTCTATAAGAAATATACAAGATTATTATTATCCCAATTTTAATCTTTATATTTTATACTACTATAATCTTTACTAGCATAAAGATTGTGGTAGACTCCGGCGTTGTTCGTGTGTCAAAGTTGGAGACCGGACGCTTGAACGGTTACGTTTGCACTTTCAACGCTCTTCCTACGACTTCTTCGTTTTTACCGCTTACGGAGAAAGGTATAAATTTCTTACTCACTATAAGTTTTAGTATGTGATTCAGGGCAAGATAATCATGTTAGGATGTTAAAATTTTTATATTCCGCTGCCTATCCTTGCATGGTTACCTTTCAAGTATGTGAAAACATTAATTTGCTTTGATGAAAACACCTTCTTGTTTAAATACTGCTTGATTGGTTTAAACATTGCTTTAATATTTCACTTAATTGTGCTTACTATGCTTGATTTTGCCTATTTCAAGTATGATTTTGAGATTTATTCCTAGCGCATACATTCAGGGGGAATGTAATTCAGGGGGAACTTAACTAGTTTTTTGCTAACAATTGTTTTTGGCAATGAATTGTTGATGAGCTCTAAGCAATGGAAGACGGATATCTCAGTTTTGGTACTAAAATTGGAAATCTCCGATTCAGGTACTTTACAAAATCTGCCTTCTTAACTAAGCTTCAGTCCTTAATTCATTTCCAACAAGCTCTAAAAGTACTGGTCCTTAGGATTTTTAAATGTACAGGACTTGGGAAAAATAGTACCACTTTTCTTTTAAAAATAAAATTCATATTTGTTTTGGTACTACCTCGTCCTAAGTAGAAATTAGAACTATAGGGAATGAAAAATGATAGTTTTATTTTGGGCCTTGAGAACCCAATAGGAATAATTTCCCTTTAGTACATAGCTTTCTTTTCTTTTTGGGCTACTCTTATAGGCTTAGCCAAACTAAAACAGTTACGGTTCTCAAACCAAACGAAACTGATTTTGAAATTGGAACAGTTTCAATTCATTGGTAATTGGTAAAAAATTCCTTCCACTTTTCAACTTCTTGGAAGTTGAAACTCTTTTACTCTCACCGTTCCATCTACCTAATTAATGGAACCCGTGAACCTCCCCTCTCTCTACCTCCTCTCTTATTTAAATCAAGACATCCCAATCCATTCATATCACAAACAACTCTTTCAATACGAAAAGTCTTCAAACTCACTGTCTGAGAAACACACCAAGAAAAATATCCTTAATGGAAAAACTTTTCTTTCTCACCCTCATAGACGGCAATGGAAGAAGCCTAATGAGAAGAAAAGACTTTCAAGGTCTATGGTGAGAATCTCGGCAGTAGAGAAGGTCTGTGGTGAAAATCTCGTATTTTTCAGGATTACACCATACACCTTCTCTGGAACAACACTCTCTCTATCTTTCTTTTTATTTGGAGAGATGTGTTGCTTCCAAGATCTTGAATATCCACTTTGGATATTAAAGATCTATCAAACGCAACGCCAACCGCTCTGCCAAACAAGTTCTGCTGAAGCTGAAAACGGTTAATGGTGGAAAATATCACAAAATCTCAAGACAAGCCTTGGTTTAGTTCTCAGTACAGCGACCAGAACTCTTAAACACTTGTTTGTCATCATCAAAAAGGGGGAAATTGTTGGGAAAAATATTATAGATTTTGATGATGATGTATTTAGAATGTAATAGGGACTTTAGGTCTCCCCAAATATTCAATGTAATTTTTCTTTTTAGAAATATTGTTAAAACCGAGTTCTTGAGATTTCCAATAAAGTTGTGATATTTCTTTAAGCGGTTTTGATGCCTGAAGACTTAATCAAATTCAGTGATATGGAAATTAGATATCTTGATCGGAAATGTCAGAGACAAGTAAGGATTTCTCAAGGCAAACAAAAATCCTCCAATCCGGAAGACTACATAAGAACCGGATGTCTCGCTACAACCCGCTGAAGGCTAAGTCGGAAGACTAGTGCGGATTTCTTTCTCACCCGGAAGACTGAGTATGGCTCTTTTGGATTTGTCAGCTAAGAACCGGATGCCTCAAAAAAGACCGGAATTCTCAAAAAGCGGACAAGTGAGAAAAGACTTAGGGGCTGTTTGTTTCAGCCTCTTAATGGTTCAGATGTCTGAATGATTCAGCACTTAATGGTTCAGACTGATTGTTTCAGCCTCTTAATGGTTCAGATGTCTGAATGGTTAAGAGATTTACCTCTGAATGGTTAAGTATTATACAGAGTCTGAATGGTTAAGAGCTGTTATCTGAATTGATCAGACATTTGCCTCTGAATAGTTAAGCAATATACTAGCTCTTAATGGTTCAGACCTCTTACTGGTTCAGCACTTAATGATTCAGACCTCTTACTGGTTCAGCACTTACCCATTCAGAAGTTGCCAAACAGCCCCTTAGAAAATTATCTAAGTCTTGAATGAAGAAATTCTACCCGTTGGTAAGGAAAAATCAATCTCTTGATTTTCAACGGCTAGACTGAAGATAATTATGCTGATTCAAGAACAAATGACTCGAAGACAAAGTCTGGACCTCTAAAAATTGAAGAGCCTGTCCAGAATTCCTAAACAAGCACTAGAA